TTCCACTAACCAACGTGGGAGCGCCACCTCCGGCTGCACTCCAGCCCCACGGGCTTTGCTTCATACCAACAGTAAGCACCCGGGGAAGGTAACAAGAGAAACTGAGGTCAGCACAAGGCAGTAATAACAGGAAAGGAAAACACCTTGTACCCTATCCCCCCATCTTCCTCATTCTTCCACCTCTGAAGCCATGAAAATATAGCAGATGGCTTTCCTCTCTGTATTCTGCCTTCTAGAGGAGAGGGGGAAATTAAAAATAAGTGATGCATTTCAGAAAGCACATCGTATGCCTCCCTGTGTTTTATATGGTACACCTTTTACCTCTGATTTATAAAGAGGCCCCCTCCAGGGCATGAAAATCATAATCTGATCCCTGCTTTTTGAAGGGGGCCAGGGCTTTTTTTTTTTTTTAACTAAAAAATCACCTTCTAAGAGACAGAAAGGAAACTCATTTCCCTGCCCCATCAAAACACAACCCCTCCATTTCTTAATTCTATTTGGATATAAAAACTACTACTAGACTTGTTCAGTAGGTCAGATGTACACAAGTAACATTGAGGCAGGGAAGCTTTTGACTTATAGTGGGCTTGCTTTTCAACCAAGAGATGATGGTCACCAACCATGGCTTCAATTAGATTTCCACCATTTCATCTCACTGAAAAACTTCAAGATCCTTAAACATATTTAGAGCAGAACTACAATCACACTTTGTGTTTTCTAATATTTGGTCAGTCCTTTCAAAGATACTCTAAACCTAATGTAATTCTTCTTAAAAAGGTATTGTGAGCTGGGCTGCAAAAACTTGAGATGGGGAGGTACAGTATAAAAGGAGAAGCTTTATCAAAACCTAATCTAATCTCAGTCAAGGGAGAAGAAAACTATTCTGTTTTATTTATTTATGTCCCGTTAATCAGGAGAGACTATATTGCAAACTTTCTATTGATACTAGACTGTATCTCTATTTTTTGAATGCAGCTTGGTTAATAAAGAGTAAGTAAGACATCACTTTATGGATTAACTAGATTTTCCAAAACAAACTAAACAATCTGTTATTAATACATGAAATGAGGTGATGTTACACACACATATCCTCGGGAAGGCAAGGTTTAATCTAAACACACGGATAAAATAGACAAGAAGTCCGCTCAGACAAGCTGCCATCTGACACCACAGTTGGTCAGAGAGCATGAACTTCAATTAAAAGATATTTACAAAAGAAAGAAAGATTATTTAAATACAACAAAAACAAAACAAACTTAACATCCTACTCTCCTAGGTCAAAGGACATGGAGGAATCAGAAATCAATTAAATCTAGTAAATAATGTAAAACAGGGAAGGACTCCCTTTCAAAAATGCTTTGGTTAATTTTAGCATCCTTCTGTTTAGCTGCTTAGCAACCCTTATCCTATGACCTTTTAAGCACCACCTACTTTTCAGAAGGCTAATGAATAGAAACATCAAAAGGATTCACTTCTGACTGTTCTAGTGAGCACGTTTAACCAATTTTTGTCGGAGTTAAATTTATATTCAATACAAAACCCTAAAAGGACAGAATTTTTAAACTTCACTAACCAGTAAGTTTCCTGTGTGGAGGGTCATAAATGATGTTAACGATGTGATAAGATAGCAAGCAAAGATTTTCAAACTGACCTTAGAAAGTGGACCAACACAGCAAAGTGGGCCAAAATTGAAGAGTAAAAGTACAAGGCACATAAGGGCAAAGAGCTAGTGCCTGACATACGGCAGGTAACCAATGAACAACTGTTGATCACACAAAGACTAACAAAGTCAGTTTATTTTCCTCCTCCAACATTCTGTACCTGTATTGGTACATGCAAATGAGACCTCTGGTGTCTGCCTGAAGAAATCTAAAATAAAAGACCCTTCAATCCAAAGGTCACTTGTTGGATGACCTAAATAGTTAGGAATGGACGCACCACCTGTGCCAGCTGAGTCAGACCCATCTCCTCCATCACATAACACTTGTCTGCCATAAGGGCCTGGGATCTAAATTCCTGATGAGAAATAAAGCAGTATCTAGAAAAACCCAGAGAATGATATGCTGTGTAACAGGAAGTATCAGCAACACTTCTTAAGAGCATCCATAAGCAGCAAATACTCTTTAAAAACAAAACATCCTAAAATGCAACCCGTCCATCAGTGTTTTTAAGAATGATAAAACATGTAAGTTCAGTAACCACCTAAAATGGAGAACAAGTTAAAACAAATAACTAAATCAAAGGGCTCTCTTTTTCTTTTGTAAAAGGGGTGGGGTGGGGTGGGAGGAAAGGTGTTTTTTCACACATTTAAAACTTGATAAAAGCCATTCAAATGTTTCATTCATCAGTGTAACCAAAGCTCAAAACACATCAAAGCAGGATCCATCTGCGGGTACCCAGAAGACTCCCTCCAACAGGCAGAGGTAAAAAGCAAACAAACAAAAATACCCCTAAAATAGGCTCACTTTGCACAAATTACTTGAAATAAAGTTCGAACCCATTCCTTCAAATGCTGTGTGTGACTCCTGAACGAAGCAAAGAACTAAATGTTGTTTCTTTTTTCCAAAAAACAAACAAACAAAAAAAACGTTTCAGCCAAGACTGAACTTAGACTTAGAACTTAAACGTTTCAGCCTCCAACTTAGACTTCCGGGTTAAATGGTGCCTTAGAACCATACCTGCCTTCTCGCAAAAGCACTAGATCCAGAGGATGCTTTTAAGGCCATGAGGAGGTAAAAAAAAAAAAAACCTCCAAAAGCCATTCTTTTCTCTGCAGTTCCCTTTTCTCCACCTTCCACTTCTACTAAAACTTTTAAGAGTATACTCGTGCGCATGCACAGGCCACTGCCTATCTAAGAGAAAAAAGAGATCTCAAAAACATGGGATGCACGCGGCAACTCAGCCTTTGCAGAAGTCCTCTGAAGTCTTCCCTTCAAGTCAGAAATACCTCGCTATTTCCAGCATCCCTATCCAACAGACAAACTTTATTTCCACTGGCTTTTCAAAGGCTAAGCTCAAATCCAAACTCTAAAACAAGCTGGAGGGTTTAATCGTTCTACTGATGAAAACCCCCCGACAGGTTTTTCAGCATACCAAAAAACTGTATTTTTTATTCCCCCTTTTCTCTCTCTCCACCACTACCACCACCCCTCAAAAAAGAAGAAAAAACTCAAAAGTGCCCCGAATGTGTGCCGCTGCTGGCTCTGAAGCCGTGTAGAATTTCGTAATGGAATGTGAACTGCTCGTCCGGATCTGGGCTCACGTTCTATCTCCTAACCAGTAAGGAGCGAGGGAGGGCAAATCTGCTGAGCAAGGAGAAATACTTTCCTCCTCTCTTTTATAACCATCACGGATGCACCGCGGACGCTGGACGCGAGCTGCACGCGGCGCCTGTCAAGCCGCCCGCCCGCCGCTCCCCGCGACCCGGGGTCCTCGCTCCCCTCGCCGCCCCCCACGCCCCGCCCGAAAGGAAAGCTGGCCGGGCCGAGAAGGGGGCTCGGCCGCCGCGACCCGCACTCACACATCGCGCCGGGCCCCGCGAGCGGCCGGGGAGCGAGTCACCACATCCTCGACGCGACCCTCCGCCCCGTCCAGAACACACGCCGCTTCCCAGGGAGGGGGCCGGCGAAGGGAAGGACCTCCCCTGCTCCTTAGCAACCATTAAGGTCGCAGTTTCCTAAGAGACCGCGAGCGGGGAGGGGGCGAGGGGGCCGGCCCGAGGCTGGCGGGGGGGCCAGGGGAGGGAGGCGCACCGGGTTCCCGGCCCCCCGACGCCAGCCCGCCCCCCAACCCGCCCCTGCGGGGGGCTGTGCGCCGGGATGGGAGGAGGAAGGGAAGCCCCAGAACTCGCGAAAAATTGGTCCAGCGGGCGGCGGACAAAAGTTTCGAGCGCGCTCCACAGCTGGGCGGCGGGCGGCCGGGAGGCCAGCCCCGCCTCGGATGCTCCCGGCCTCCTTCCTGTGCTCGTGACGGCGCCGGGTGCCGAGGTCCCCCCGCCCCCCCCCCCCGATGCAGGCTCCGCTCCACACCGATGGCTCCCACGAAAACACGTACACCGCCAACGGAAGGGCAAGGAAACAATGCCCGCCAACACGGCTCCGGCCCCCTCCTCCCGTCACCCGGGGGCGGTGGTCGGGTAACCCCCCGCCACAAGCCGGGAACGGGCGAGGGCGCAGGGCTGCCCGCGGCCCCCTCTCGGCCGGCGCCGTCCGCCGGGGAGGATCAAAGTCCGCAGAGCAGGGCGCGGCGGATGCTCCCACCGCGCCGCCCCGAGCGGGCACCCCCGAGCGAGCACCCCAGGCCGGCACCCTAGGCAGGCACCCCGGATACCTTGCGGCGGCGGGCGAGCGCCGTCATCTCCGTGCTTCTCGGCCCGAGAGGGACTCGAAAGTATGTAGGAGAAAAGTTTCCCCTCCCACATGGGGGGGAGGATGTCGGGGGAGAGAGGGCGGAAGATGGAGAGCAGCGCAGGGAAGATGTTTCTGGCCGGCGGTGCGCGCACCATCCAAGTCCCCGCGGTGTTGGTTAAAAATAAATTCCGCGGCGGGCGCGGCGGCGCGGGTCGGGCCGGATTCCTGCGCTCGGACGGCTAATATGGATGCGCATCAGGTCCTGGCGGTGGGGCGCTGCGGCGGCCGCGGCGGCTCGCGCTGGGAGCTGGTTGGCAGAGCCGGCGGCTCGGGAAGGGGAAAAGGAGCGGAGGAAGGGGAGGAGGAGGCGGGGGGAGGCGCGGAGGAGGAGGAGGAGCGGCCGGGCGCGCCGCCGAGGGGAGAGGGCTCCCGGCCCATCCCGGACCGCCCCACCGCCCCGAGCGCACGTAGCGCGGCGTGGGGCGCGCGGGTCCTCCGCTCCCAGGAACGCCGCGTTTAGAAAGTACAACGCGCTCTGCAGACTTCGCCCTCCCCATCCCCAAAAGTTCTTTAAAAGGTCGCTCCCGCTCAGCCCCAGACATCTCGCTGCCGCCCGAGTACCGCGAGCCGGAGCCCCGGGCGCATACTTACGGCCGGACAGGGCACTTGGCTCCCAGGCATGATGCAGAGGGGACCGGTGGGCTTCGGGCAGGGAACTAGGAGAGATGCAAACTTGTTCCGGAAAAGGAATCAAAATGGCGTTTCTGGATGTGCAAAGTTCATCAACTCCGCAGTCACTTCCCCTCCTCCTCTTCTCCCACAGGGAGGGAGGTGGGCGAGGAGCTGGCGACCCCGGCGCCCCAGCCGTCGTCCCGGCCCCCGCCTCGGCCCCCCGCCCCGCTTCCTCGCCCGCACGCCCGGAGACTCGCTCTCCCCCTCTCACCCTGATAAGTAGACACATCACGTGTTGCTCCTGCGAGTCTCCTGGGGACGTGTTACTGAGCAGCGGCGGCGGCGGCTCGGGCTGGGGGGTGGGGGGGCCGCGGTACCCGCCTGTCCCAGCTGCCGCCCCCGCTCCGATTTTAGTGGGGTGACCGCAGTTTCCATCCCGAGATGGATGGAGGTGGAGTCCCCCACCCCACCCCCACCGCGGCCCCAGGTTTGCCCCACGCCCTCCGCGGGCGCCCCGGACCGGGGCAGGGAGGGCCGCTCCCAGGGAAGGGTCTCGCCTCAGCGCCGAGCGCGCGCCCGCCCCGCCCCGCGCTCGCCGGCCGGCCACCTTCTTGGACCACCGCACCCCCTCCCCTCCGGCCCCTCACTGCGGGTGCCTCCCCGCCCCCGGCTTTCCATCACTTCGTTCCTGGGTTTGTTTCACTATTTTAAAGGAGGGGAGGAAGAGGCAGCGATGCCCCAGAGGCGCGAGAAGGGCGCCGCGGAAGCCGGGAGGGGGTGGCGCGGGGGTCGGGTCCCCTGTGCCCCGCCGCCCCTCTTGGTGTCCGAGGCAGATGGGCGGGCGAGCCCCACCCGCGCGGTTCCCTCTCCACGCGGTCCTTGCTCTGCATCCAGGTGGGGCGAGTAGAGGATGGGGCAGGAGATTAAGGAACCCTCGCTTCTCCCCGCCCCCAACTTCGGGCTGTTTCTCTCCCAGGACCCCGTCCTTCTGGCTCTAGGGCTGTCGCCCGCCAGGGTGCATATTCTCCGTCCAACAAATTCAACGCTGACTCGGCTTTTGTCACTTTGACTTTCTTCCCCACACTCCACAGTTGATGCTTTAGCGGGAGCTGCGTTGCCCCCAAGGGGCCGAGGGTAGCAGAGGCTCCCACCACCCGTGTCCCCACCCCGCGGTGGCATGGCTGATGCTGTGTCATCCACGTCGCCCTCCGAGGAATCAGGGAAGCCACACGCAGTATCTCCTTCTCTCAGAGGGCTCCTGTTTCAACTCTGAAAGGCAGGGGTCCTCCTCCAGCCGCTCTCCATCTCTGCAGCTCCCGCCACCACTTTTAGCCCTGGCTGCGAGGCCCAAGTTATCACGGATCCCAGAGAAACCAGGCCTGGGCTGTGCTTCCTCCATAAAGCAGCTGATATGTTTCCAACTGTTAATACTTTTCCTACCGAGGTTCTGAAAGGGGCCTGTTCGTAAACTTTGGGAACATCTTCAGACAGATAAGGGTGATTGTGATTGTGGAAAATAAACACCACACACCCCAAACCCTAAACATGAATGTGCCACTTAGCTAGTTTCAGGAACTACTACTGTAGAATTAGGTGTTTGAGACTAGTGAGACAACACGATCACGATGACGATGTTGTACGGACAGAAAGCTGGCTACTCTCTATTTAACTGTGACCTTTGACCCTGGCTCTGCACCCCAGCTCTTCTGAGGACTTGCACACCATACAAAGTTGTAACCTCAACTATGGGCCTTTAATTTGTAGTCTTCAATGGAACTCTGGTTTTCAAAGCTGCAGATAGAAAAGAGCATCTACCTAGGGACTAAACAGGTAGGTTCTGGCCAAAACAGCACTCTCTAGAACCAACCAAAAGCAGTTGGATCAATACCTTTGACTTGAGATATATAGGCTAAACCACTGCCCAAGAGGGAACTAATTCAGCTGGCTGTGTCTCTGATGTCCAGAGTCATCAAAATTAAGTTTTCAGAACCTGTTATGTTTCCCAGGGTCTACTGTTTACTGAGGAAAACTCTACCCAGAGAACCTTTAGTACTTGAATTTTTCTAAGCCTATACCCTCACCCTCACCCCAAGTGTACCATCAAATGCTTTTTTGAAGACAGGCTTCCCCAAGGAGAAAATGGGCAGGTCTATAAACAGGAATAATGGTTGGTGCAGTCACCACAGAATTTGTGTCTGGAGCTTCTGAGTTGTTATGTGTCCCAATGAGAGGCAAAGGAAGGGCTGCACAGGGAATGCAACTTTATTTTCTTGTCCTGCCTGGGATTCAGGAGTTAGCCTTTCCTGTTCTCTCCATTTAATGGTAAGTTTTGAGTAGGAACAACATCAAAGTTGGAATTTTGTTTGTAATTTAGCTTGTTCTGTAAAGTACATTCAGACCTGCAAGGCTACATGAATTTTCATGATAAATCACCACTTTATAATGTCACCTAGATAATACTGGCAACTGAAAAGAAAAAACAGTTTGAAGTAACTTTTAAAAATTGAATTCTAATGACTGGGACCTGTTCATCTTTTCTAGCTAGTTAATAATATTGGGAGTCAAATGGTCTATTCAAAGGTCTGTTTGTTCATATTACATATAAATATAATTTATCCAACAAATACGTATTGAACATTTAACAGGAAAAAAGAGTCATGGTATCCATTAGACTCATAGACATAGTGGTTGGTCTATCCATAGACTCATTAGACTCACAGGAGTTAGCAATGGGGAGGGGAGTGGGCCAGGGGTAGGAGGAGACTGCTAAACCAGTGTGAGATACAGTTGATAATAAAAAAAAAAGTCATGCTATCAAAACCATGATGACATGTCACTTCATACCCACTAGAAGGGCTATAATAAAAAAGATAATAACAAGTGTTGGTGAGGATGTGGAGAAACTGGAATCCTCATACACTGCTGGTGGGAATGTAAAATGGTGCAGCCACTTTAAAAAACAGTTGGACTGTTCCTCAAAATGTTAAACATGGAGTTTCCATATGACCCAGCAATTCCACTCCCAGGTATTTACACAAGAAAGGAAAACATGGATACACACAAGAACAAGTGACATAAACTCAAATATTCATCAACTGATGAATGGACAAACTGTGGTATATCCATGCATAGAAATTATTCAGCCATGAAAAGGAATGAAGTACTGATACATGTTATAACATGTATCAATCTTGAAAGCAAGCTAAATGAAATAAGCCAGACCCCAAAGGACAAATATTGTAGGATTCTGTTTATATGAAATGCCCCAAATAGGCACATCTATAGAAATAGGAAGTAGACTAATGGTTGCCTCACACTAAGAATTTGGGGGGAAATAGGGATTGACTGCTAATACATACAGGGTTTCTATTTGGGGTGAACATTTAGAAAAATGTTCTAAAATTGATTGTGGTAATGGTTGTACAACTCTGAATATACTAAAAACCATTGAATTGTACACTTTAAATGGGTGAATTGTATGGTATGTAAATTATAGTTCAATAAACCTGATATGTATATACATATATGAAATTGTGCTAGGTTCTATCGTGGAGAAGTGATACAAAATGGATAATTTATAGCTCATGCCTTCAAAAAGTTTATAATCTATTCTCTGCATCCACGTTAAGTAATCATGAAATGCAAACCAACATGAAACAACTGTTAAATAGGTGCAAAATTCAAAGGTTCAAAATAAAAACAAAATTCAAAGGTTCAGGAAAAGAGATCACTTCTAAGAAAAGTAACAGGTAATAGCTTCATGGAAGGGAAAGCAATGGAGCTAAGCCATGGAGAATGGCTAGAAATTTCGTGGGTGCAGATTAGGGTTAGAAACAGCAGATGCAAAGGCAGGACTCTAGCAAACCATGGGTCGTGTTCAGAGATCAGTATGGAACCTAGTGTGGCTGGACTATGACATACAGGGTATGTGAGTGAGGAGGTACTTGTTTACCCTATTAAAAGGTAAACAAGCTGAGGCTATACCACAAAGAATTCTGAATGTCATCCATGGGAACCTCATGGCTGAGGGCAGAGGGAATAGAAGATCAAGTATCACTCCAGAGGAAGAGCTGATAGAAAGGCAACTGGTGCACCAGGAATGGAGGGGGTGAAGAAGTGAGGGCCAGGATGACATCTCAGTCTTGGCCTGGTGACTGAGCGAAGGAATAACACACTGAGAAAGTCAGAGATAGGAGCCCAGGAAGAAAAGGGATGCAGATGCTGGTGAAAGCTGCTTGGTAGGGGATACAATCTGCTCAGTCTCACAGGATGTGTAGGGGTCCCCCCCTCAGGGAGGAACAGGGTCCTCCAAACAGAAGGAGCAGCAAATAGGCACAGGGCAGAGAGGTGGAAAACAAGGTCAGTTTCCTGAACTGCAAATTACCCCCTGAGTGGCCAGAGTGAGGGGGAGAGGGGAGGCAGCCGGTGTGGAGCTGAAGAAACAGCCAGGGGGCAGAGAGCTGAGGGCTCTGTGCAACTCATAGCTGACCTGGACATTATTCAATGGTGAGGCCTTGAAAGGGCTTAAGGAGGAGGGTGGACCTGGAGCCTCCCCACGATACTAGAGAAGGGTCCAGAAGACCCGAGACAGGAAGGCTAGTTAGGAATTAATAGAAGAGTCCATCTGAGAAATAATAAGGACCTGGTCAGCCACTGGCTGTAGAGGTAGAGAGGAATGAAATGATTCAAGACATTATTAGGACTGAGACTCCACAGAATTTGACCAGTCTGAGCTAGAAGAAAATCCTGCCGGAGCACAGACCAAAGGGCATGGCACCAAATGAAGCGAGACCTCTGATGCTGTGGTAGGGGGACCCATGACAGTGCGGGGATGACATGAAAACTAGTGGGACAAACAAAGGGGCTGGAGGAAGGAGACGCTGAAGAGATAGAATCCACTGGGCTGGATCCCGGTTTATAGTAAAGTATGAAAGCAGGCTGCTGCCCCTGGCTCAGGTGGGGGTGTCTGGAAGGGAGGTCGGTCCATTCAGTAGTGGCATGAGTAGTGAGGGGAAGAGCGCGGATGATGAGAGGAGGCTGGAGCCAGCAAACAGGCCAGGAGAGGAGGACAGAGGATGGACATAAAAGGCTAGAAGCTGGACTCAGGGAAGCACCAGCAGTTAGGTGAAGCAGAGGGAGTGAAGTCAAGAAGCTGAACAGCTAAGCCAGCTGCCCATGAAAAAGGTGGCCAACAGTGTCAAAACACAGAGAAAT